CACATTGGTAAATTAATATCCTAAAGTAGATGGCTTATGCGCAATCCGCACCCACAGGAATCTTAGACTTGTAGTTAAGAGGGAACATTGCTCTGCTCCTATGAACTTTAGCAGGATTAGGGTTGGAAGCCCTCAATAAGCACTTACAGTGAATGAGCCTCTTCCATGTGGCTGAGCTTCAGCAGTCTTAGAACAAAATTTGCTGGAGTGGGTTGTTTTGCATCCTGTCAATCAGACCTTTCCTTCTCCATACAGCTTGATAATGTTTCACATTGTAAACTGCTGTAAGTGTGGGCAATACTGCCTCTGGTTAAATGAGTCATCAAATAGTGATAACAAGGTGTGGAGCTGGATGAACACAGCAGGCCAAGCAGCATCAGAGGAGCAGGAAAGCTGACGTTTCGGGTCTAGACCCTTCTTCAGAAATGTGGGAGGGGAAGGGGATTCTGAAATAAATAGGGAGAGGGGGGAGGTGGATAGAAGACGGATAAAGGAGAAGATAGGTGGAGAGGAGACAGACAGGTCAGAGAGGCGGGGTTGGAGCCAGTAAGGGTGAGTGTAGGTGGGGAGGTAGGGAGGGGATAGGTCAGTCCAGGGAGGATGGACAGGTCAAGGAGACGGGATGAGGCTGGTAGGTAGGAGATGGGGGTGAGAAATTTCTGAAGAAGGGTCTAGACCCGAAACGTCAGCTTTCCTGCTCCTCTGATGCTGCCTGGCCTGCTGTGTTCATCCAGCTCTACACCTTGTTATCTCAGATTCTCCAGCATCGGCAGCTCCTACTAGCTCTCACCAAATAGTGATCTCTGCAACAAATGGGATTGAAGGAATAAGAAAGAAACAGGGAAGCAAGAGGAAAGGAAATTGAGTGAATCAGTCAAATCAGGTACTGGGCAAAATAAAGAGGGACAGAAAGGTTAAATTAAGATAGGAAACACCATTTGTCTTCAAGGACAGAAAGGAGAAGTCACAATAAAATTTTAAATTTCAATAAAAATGATTACAAAGGCTCAAACAACAATTTGCTATGTGTTGAAATGGGCTTCACAAATGTCCCTTTTCTGGAGCAGAGTGGGTGAGAGGCTTTGCAAAAGCATGTATCTCCTTACATTTGGACTTACATTTTTACCAGCTCTAATTCTCCGTGATGAGTTTAACAGTAATGAACATGCAAATGCACTCATTTCATAAATTTCAAAAGAAGATTAAATGTGAGCTGCTGTTTTCACAAGGCTAAGGGCAAAGCAGGCAAATTTCCCAGCAACATGTGGTGAATCACAATCCTCTGAGTATCTCTTCCTCACCACAAGCTGTCAGCTTATTATTAATTGTGAAAATTGCCGATAACCTTGTTATCGAGACTACAAAACCAGGGTCCTTTCTTAAATAAATTTCAGTTTCAATCACTTTAACAACCTTGAGCAATTGATGATTTTAGACAGTCAAGTGACACATGCATATAACCCTGGCTTGAGGGTGCATTTTGCACAGGGGTAGTGTCCATACCTCTGAGCCAGGAGGCCTGGGTTCAAGTCTCATCTATAACAAAGGTGTGAAACAGTACGTGTAAATAGGTTGATTAAAATGTCTATAATCCTGGATTTCTCAAATTGAGAGCAACACTCAGCTGACAATATGATAACAATTCTCACTACTCTTGAATAAGACAAAGTAATAACAACAACATTAAATGAAAAGTAAAGAGGGCTTGCATTGATCTAACACCTTTCAGCATCTCAGGACGTCCCCAGTACAGGTGGCATGGTGGCTCAGTGGTTAGCACTGCTGCCTCATAAAGCCAAGGACCTGGGTTCGAATCCACCCTCGGGCGACTGTCTGTGTGGAGTTTGCACATTCTCCCCGTGTCTGCGTGGGTTTCCTCCGGGTGCTCTGGTTTCCTCCCACAGTCCAAAGATGTGCAGGCTAGGTGGATTTGCCATGCTAAGTTACCCTCTAGCGTATAGGGAATGGGACTAGGGGAGATGCTCTGAGGGTCGGTGTGGATGGGCCGAAAGGTCTGTTTCCACACTGTAGGGATTCTATGATCTAAGTGCCTGACAGACATTAAGTGTAGACACTGTAGCAATGTAGGAAATGTTGCTTTCAACATGTGGACAACAAGCTCCCAAGAAACAGTAAATGTGAGGAAATAACCAACTGTTTTTGCAATGTGGTTTAGGGAAGAATTACTGAAGACATTAAGATAATTCATCTGTTCTCCCTCAGACTGTGCTGTGTTTACATCCACCTGAGAGGGCAGATGAAACCAAAATCCGTTCTAAAAAATGGCATCTCTGACAGTGCAGTACTCTATCAGCACTGCAGTGAATTGTCAGCCTAGAATACAAGAACCTCTGGGTTTATTATATAGATTCTGGCTACAGATGTTGCCATTTTCATTCCCTGCAAATTATTCAGAAACGAGTTGGCACCTGTTTCTGAAACAACAAAATTGTTTATTGGAATTTCAATGAAGGGAAAATGATGTTGAGCAAAATGAGCACTGTGTTGATCTACATATAGTATGCCATGTCTAACTGCCTCAGGGTTCACTTGTCTCACCATCTTCCTATGCAGCTAGTGTGTTCAGGCACCGTGTGCACAGGGTTACACACTACCACCAAGTTCATCACCAGCTTCTCAAGAGCAAGTAGGGATGGGCAATAAATGCTGGCCAGCCAGCGACGCACACATCCCACAAATGAACAAATAAAATAAACTACACAATGCATCCAATTCCAGCTGACAGTGCTTCAATATCCTATCTTACACTGACAGAAGTCTCAACTTCAGCTGGCAGGAGTAAGGGAAGTTTGTTGATTCTAACAATGTTGAGATTTTGGGATCAGAGATAGTAGGAACTGCAGATGCTGGAGAATCCAAGACAACAAGGTGTAGAGCTGGATGAACACAGCAGGCCAAGCAGCATCATAGGAGCAGAAAGGCTGACGTTTCAGGCCTAGACCCTTCAATGTGCATCCGCATGTGAAACAGTCACTTTTTTAGTTACCATGTAAAGGGCTGCATTGTTGTGTTCACTGACCATGTCGCTTTGTATTAAATAAACATTGAAGAAAACATTAATGGGAGATTCCCCAAGGTGGCCATATCTCATGTAATCCACCTTCAGCCTTTGATGTTGCAATGGTTGTTTATACAGAGCAAGCCCTGAGACCAGGATTTAATTACAAGGGTGTTTTTTTTTCTGTATTTATTTCCATTCATTGCCATTATCATTATTTCTGGGGTTAATTCTACCAGGAATTACTTTAAACAACTCTGCATGAGGGTGAAAGAATATCTAAAGCTCTGCCTAAATCTCTTCAGATTCCAAGAGAATACTTACTTATTTCTACCATACTTCAGTGAAAAACATAAATCTGTTTAATGCACACCTTGTATCTTAATCTCTGAGCACTAGCGATTGTAGAGTGAAAGCTCAAGGATAGACCTGCTCCTAGACAAAGTGATAACTTTAGTGATTTCTGAAATCGCTCATGTCCATTTTGATGACATTTTACAATATATAATACTTCTCTGTCCTGATCTTCGTAATGAGAAAGGTGTAATGATGTGACAGTGACATCAATGCGAGATTCCAGGGAGAGAGCATACTAGAGAGAGATATATGTCCCCAAAGCAGAGCATGTATCATCACATAAAAAGCAAGAATTTGGAAGAAACCCGTCAGAGTTAGACTATAATGGGTATTTATCTTTGATAGAGACAAGCTGTATCTCAAGAAGAGATATCCAAATAAGTTACAAAGTGGAATTTAATCACAGATCAGTATCTGTTACACCCCAGTTTACTCCTGAGGCCTGGTACGTAATATTTATGAAGTATATACAACTATGTTAAATGCCTGTCTAATACATAGCATGCTAGTAAGCATGAAAAGCTGAGTGCCTATGCAATAGGTTTGCAGTGGAAATGCCATTTAATCTGCACAGACCCCTTTCAAATGCCATGCCTAAGTAAAGCAGCTAATTTCATGGCAAGGAATATCATAAGATCATGAAAAAGGAGAAGGTGGAGGTTAAGTGGCCCATTCAATCTACTGTGCCATCCAGTAGGATCATGTCTGATGTGATTGCGGCCTTAACACCCCTCTCCTGCCTGTCCCCCATAACCTCGACTGCCTTATCAATCAAAAATCGAACTAAGCCTTCTCTATCTTCATATACTGCCAACTCAGGTGGAGAACTACAAAGATTAACAACACGTTGTGAGAAGAAATTTCTCCTCATCTCCCCAAATGGGAGATCCCTTAATTTTAAACTGTGGATCTGAGTTGTAGAGTCTCCCACAAGAGGAATCATCATCTCAGCATCAATCCTGTGAAGGCCCCTCAGAATCTTATATGGTTCATTAAGATTATCTCTTATTTTTCTAAATTCTAATGAGTATTGTTCCAAATTGCTGAACCTCTCTTCATAAGACAACCACTCCATTGTATGAAGCAGCTAGTTAACCCTTTCTGAACTGTTTCCAATACAAGTATATCCCTCCTCAAATAAGAAAACTGTGTACAGTCATCTAAGTATGGTCTCACAAGTGCACTAGACAGTTGTAGCAATATTTTACTATTTTTAGACTTCATAGTAGGTATGATGGACAATGCCTTAGAATATAACTTCAGGGGTCTTGTGTTGAGTTAGGAAAATGTTAGGCAGGTTAGATATGTGGTTAAATAAAGAAATCTGGGAAGACATTCCTGAAGGACAAATACAACTGCATGGCCTGTTGGCTCGTAAGTCCTATTTGTACTGCTTTGTCATACTTTATAAGTTGTAAATGCACTGACATTTTTTTAAAATTATCCCAATTCACTCCAAAATATACTGTTAAAATTATGAATTTAAAATATGTATTTCTTGTCAAAGGTCGCTGTACTTCAGTAATAAAATTTTTATAACAGCAATATAGAAAGGTTGAATAAAATATTATATTAGTATTTGAGCAAACCTTTTGAGCCTCTTGAACCTCCTCTTTTCATACAGTTCCTCAAGTCCTCAAAAGCTGTGCAGAATTCATTGAAAAACATGGAATTGTAGATGGGGTCTACAGGCTCTCAGGAATTACATCCAATATTCAGAGGCTGAGGTAAGGAATCAATTACAACTTCATGCAATTTTATTAATCTGAAATGACTTAAGTTTGCAACTGCACCCTACATTTAAATTCCTCAATGATGAGGTAAGTGTTGTCCTCAGATCTGAATGGGTGTCAGCATGTCGTGTTTGACCTTACCAATTTGTCAAGCTTAAAGCTGTATTACAGACTACAGCAGCCTTACTCAGTGGAAGTAATTTCAGTCTGAACTGAACCCTTGCTTTGTATGTTCCTGTAAAATCCCTCTGATTTTCCTATGACTGGGCTTGAAAAGGTGAAAGTGAGACACAGAGATTTGAAGTATTTTGCTGACCTAAGTGCACTTTATTATAACAAAATTAGGTATTAAGAAAGGATGCCATGTTTTGTCTGCTGAATATTTTAATGAATGGAGGCAAAAGGCAAGAGATTTGTCAATTTTCAATTCTATCTCCTGGTGTGAGTGGGAGCAACAAAGGCCTCAAGGTTGAGGCAATTGATCAACACCTGGTAATGAGGCTGGTGACACTTTCAAATGAAACTACATATTGTCTGTCAATCACAGGAGACAAGCCACTTTTAAATTGTAATTCACCACTGTTAGTTTGTAAAACTGTGAGAGCTTCCAATGCACACTCTAGGCAGTACCACATATAGGTCCACTGAGTCTCGAACAAAAATCACATGGGTCAATACTGCCCCAGGATTCCCCTGCCCTCAGCAGCTGGGATTACCCTATATGAAGGCTTGGTTTGACAAGCTGCATCAGAACACCCATTCAGCAACACTCTCTCTTATTCCCTCTGAGTCTTTCCAATTCCACCCCTCCAATACGCCTCCCCTTCGCAGCACTGCCACCAACCATCCTCCCTGTACTCGCTCTCTATCCTGAGGGGATGCCTCTTCATAGTGGACAATTCTGGACTAGTTAGTCACCCAAATATCAAGGTCAACTCCATCATCTGTCACGTATACATGTGGCCAGACTTTTCTGTTCCATCATTTTTGAATGTTCATTGTAGCAACTTGTAAAGATAAAGTCATTTGTGTCACATATGCTCAGACGTTTGAATGCCAATACTGCCTGTTTAGCTTCTCATTATCACTGCATGGGGATTTTAAAATTTATTATTCCTTGTTCATGAAAGATCTCACATCATTGAAACATTTGGTTTCCAGAGTTCTTTTTATCGTACCAAGCTACCCTTGCTCCAAGCTATTAAACTGTATAACATTTCATTCTGAAAGATTTTCTACAAAGAAGTGAAAATCATATAGCCAAATGTTTCTTTCTAAAAGACACCAAATGGTTTGGCTTTCAGCGAAAGAATGTATCCCCACAAGGTGTATCTTTTAACTTGTATTTTTAATTCAATTCTCATTTCTAATCTGTATGTTTGTGTGTTGCTTTATTACTTCTTCTCACATTTAGTAACAAATAAACTCACTCTTTTGATAACTCAAGGAAGGCTTGTCAAAATAGCTCATTTTGAAGCACTTGGTCTGGGGGAAATGTATTCAAAAAGGCATGGATCTTTTGTACATTAACCTTGTTGTGATTAACTGAGGGATAAGGTGAATAAAGAAGGGGAGTCAGTTCAGTCGTCCTCAGCTGGGAGCTCAACGATTTGAGATATCCCGTCTGGAACCATAATAACTCAATGAACCTTGCCTGGTGTCTGTTGGTAACAATCATACAAATATATATTTACAGTAGGAAGTTGTTATCTACTAGCATAAACAAAATAGAACACTATAATTTTATAGATAATCTGCTATCTTTCTTCCACATAATCTTTAATAACAATGAGCTGGTGTGCCTCATGTTTTCCTGTAAAATTGCCAATTGGGTTGACTTCCTCAATACGTTGAATAGATCCTGCAGCTCAAAGACATTTGCCATGCTTGCCATAGGTTGTATGCAATTATTATGAGTAGCAGTGCAATAAATTATCATCTGAAACATATTTAGCAAAGCAATTAACCCTGTCTGAGTTGTTCAATTTGGTTTGCTCTCTGAAGCCTACAGTTCAAAAAAGTGCTGTTCATGATCTTGGAACATATTAAAAAACAAGGATCTGAACTGCAATTGTGACTGGATTGGATAGCTTTTAACTAAGCCTAGACAAATAGTGCAAGTTTTCTTTTGCAGTCCTTCAAGTTAAGTTATTGGGAGAAAAGCCCTAAAATATAGCGATAACCATGTTTTGACAGCACTTCTGAAAGTCATAGCACAGAAATAAAAATGCTGGTGAAAAGAAACATCACTATCAACAATCCCCCTCCCAGTTATACAGTGTCCTGATGCGGGTATGTATTGTGGCCTTTTTTCATCATCACGAGTTAAATCCAGGAACGCGCTACTTGTGCTCTCTGCACAACGAGAAATGCAATGGTTCAAAACTGCTCAAATACACCCAATAACGATATTTAGGGATGTGCACTAAATGCTGGCCTTACCTGCAATGTTCATTTTCCAAAGCCAGATGAGAAATAATTACAGTGGACTAATCATATAGCTGGATTACAAAAAAATTAAAGTGTTAATTGAGAAGTGCTTCGAGAGGATTTTTACATGTCTGCTCATTACGGAATAAAATGTTTTACCCAAGCTTCATCATATTTAATTTAAACCCATAGGATCATGCAGTGTCTATGAAGTAAAATACAGTAGACTGCTTTCAGCTCTACCCTATTATGTCATATTCTTGTGGCCTCATCGAAATCTGTAATAACTTTTCAATATGTCATTTAGAAAGGATTTAATACAAGGGCTGGATTTCCCACTCTGATCTGTGTGGTACCAGGGTGGTTAGGATGGGAAAATCTGGGAGGATGGTGTTTGGTAACTCCCCAAAACTTTCAATCACTTCTGAGGTTTTCTGCCAGAATTGACACCTGCTACTGAATACCCAGTGCCCCTTTTCCATGTGAATTCCAGCGCAGTGGGAAGATAAAAACTCTGAGGTGAGATTCAGAATAGAGGTTTCTTCACTTTGCAGCTTTGCTGTACCTGACTTGAGACTACCAGTGGAAACTGCTAGCACCGTCATCTTCAGAACTCAGAAATAGAGAGGAAATCTGCAAAATTAAACCACAGAATCATACAGATAGAAAGAGGCCATTCAGTCTATCGAGTCTGCGCCAGCTGGCTGAGATCTGTGAAAGAACTCATCTTCGTTGCTTCGTGTCATCAAACATTAATGAGTTGAAATTATACTGAGCAAATAACAGGGAAGTACATGTTTTTGCTTATTCATGGGACGTGGGCATCGTTGGCTGGGCCAGCACTTGTTATCCAACCCTAGTTGTCCTTCAAATGAAGAGCTTACTAGGCCATTTCAGAGGGCACTTAAAAGTCAATCTCAGTACTGTGCTGCTGGAATCATACATAGGCCAGACCAATGTAAGGATGTCAGACTTCTCTTCCTAAATGGCACTAATAATGCTAAAAATGGCATTCGTAATGTTAAATGCAAAACCCATCTGGTTCACTAATGTACATTCGGGAAGGAAACTGCACCCTTACCTGGACTGGCCTTCATGAGACTCCAGACTCTCAGCAATGTGGTTGACTCTTAACTGCCCTCTGGACAATTAGTGGTAGGGCAATAAATGCTGGACTAGCCAGTGATGGCCTCATCCCATGGATAAAAGACAGTGAATCGGCAGGCTTTTAGGATAATCAGTAGTGGTTTCACAGTCAATATTTGGCTAGCTTTTAATTCCAGATGTTTACTGAATTCAAATTCCAACCCAGAATGTTAGTCTGGGATTTTGTATTACTAATCCAGTGACATTACCACAACACCACCAGCTCCCCACAAAGCTCCTTTGATCAGAAACATTAAACATTGAACCCTTAGTCTGTTGGAGCTAAAGAGTCACTTTTCTTAGATAATGAAAATTAAACAGAAGAAGAAACTAACTTGTTTTAAGTCTGACATAACATAGCATCCTACCTACTTCAACCAGTCAAGAAGAGATTTTGTGATCCAGGAAGATACTGAATGAGTGGGGAGTCAAGGTGTATGCTGAAATCTCTTTGTAAACACTGATTCCAGAAGATTCTCTGTGGTTAGGTTCATTTAAAAGAATTGCCACACCCCCAGTCTGAAGACTGCAGTCTTGTACTGGAGTGGAGGTGCGGTTTGGTGGGAAAATACATATAGTTTGGGTACATACTGAAACATGGAATGAGCAGCAGCACTGTGCCGAAAAGAACAAATCAAAATGCATCGGCAAAGACCTTCCCAACATCGTCCCACCAATGCTGGCCCCAACCACGCTCCAGCTGAAGCCTAGTGTTGCCATGGTATTTAATACAGGAAATATGCCCTTGGTGCATGCCAATCATCAATCCAATTCCCCATGTCCAACTTTGGCAGATTTATTCAATATCCACCATTGCTCCTGGTGAAATTTGTTACTGGGACAGAAATTTCCACAGAGCCAGCAGAACTATTTTTTCTGCCAAATTCCCAAATCCCAGTCATTGGATATCACCAAATAGTTGGTAGAAGTTTAGAAAATTTAGCCCTTATGTTTTATGTTTTATGTTTTACATATTTTAGCACAATCATGTGTTGCCATTATCAGAGAGATATTAAGAAAACTGTGGGTATCTGTGTGTCTACGGCCACTGAACATTAGACAATAACTTCCCAATTTAATTCTCAAATTAATTTCACCTACAATCCCGACACCCAAAACCTAGTGGAGACTTTCAGCTGACCAGTCCCAGCTGGATTCAAACTCAGGCTGATTTACTGCATCATCCAAACCTCTTGCAAAATTAAAGGAGCAAAATACCAATGATTACCAATCTTGGCCCAACTCAAATTTAAACCAGTTATTATCAGTGAGAAAATCTTTGTCAGGTTGTCATTTGAAGAAAGCTCAGTGACGTAATTAGTGAAGTAATTAGAGTGTTGCCTTGTGAATGGTGATTGCTGCTAATACATCATCTAACTAAAAACTAGTAATAAAGCACCAAATTACTATTCACTGTC